CTGGTAGTTGGGGCACACATAGGGCTTCTGCTGTTGGCACCACTCTCGGATGTGACACTCCAGCTCTGCATTGTCCCGCTCAAGCTGGCGCACCTTCTCCAGGTAGTTGGCCAGGCGATCGTTCAGGAATTGCATTGTCTCCTTCTCATTGCCATTGAAGGAGCCCTCGTAGAACCAGCCCCCAGTCCTAACAAAGCCAGAGGAGTGGCACCCAGTGGACAAGTAGGAGCCAGGCAAGCAGCTTCCAAGACCTGAAAGGCCCAGCCTAACAGAAGAGACAGACCCTGCAGCCCCAGCAAGACTTGGGATCCTGCAGGAGCCCAGAGAATGGATGGAGGACACCCGAGAGATGCCGCCTGCTGGGCCACAAAGGCCCTTGAGAGACCCAGCAGAGAAGGTCGGGGTGCAGATCTGGGTGGCCATGATGCTAGCAGAGGAAGGGCACAGCTTACAAGGAGCTCAGGTTCTGGATTCTCAAGACCTCTCTGGGGAGCTTATATACACTCTCCATGGGGTGTTGGCATGTTACACATCTTTGACTCTTGGGAAAGCCTATTCCTATTCCAGAAAGCTAATCCCATTAGAATGTGATTTTTTGCTACTCATCTAGAATTCCTTTGCCTTGTAAAAAAAAAGTGTTGAATTTGGTTTGCTAAGTCAGAGTCTCAGTTGTTGTCATTCCTAGCAGAATATGAATTTTATTGCCTCTTCAAAGGGTCTGATCCCATAAATTGGGTGTGGACCTATGAGTGACATTTGGCTCCTGCCCTCTCTGCCTGCCCTTCTCTGAGGAGCCCGACCTGTCGACTTGTCACCCCATCCACTACCCCATCCCTCACAGCTGCTCATATATGCCTGGACCACAGGGGTGGTAAAAGGGAGACAAGAAAACTAAAATTCATGGAGCATCAATTATGTACCAGGCTCATAGTTATTTCACCTTATACCTCACAACAATCCTGGGAGGTGGCTGATATTGTCTCCATTTTATGGATGTGGAAGCTGAGACTCAACATGGTTAAACAGCTTGCCCAAGATGAACAGGCAGTGAGTAGCGGAGCTTGAATCTGAAACGAGGGTTTCTGGACCCATGCCTTTGTCCTGCTGCTTCCGTATGCAACCAAAGTCAAGTCCAGTGCCCAGAATTTAGGTTTAAATCCTAGACCTACTGATAGTTTTTCCTGCAATATTGAGCAAGTCACTTCCCTCTGGGATCCTCATGGTCACCATTGGAACAGCAGAGATCATCTCCCCGTCCTGCCTGCTTCACACAGATACAAGGAGGATGAAACAGAAGTAAAAGTGATTTGAAAACCATCAGGTATTTTAGA